CAAGCTTGGCACACCTGTATTTGGGGAGTTTCTCCCATTCTTCGCTGCAGATCCTCTCAAGCTCTGTCAGGTTTGATGGGGAGTGTCGCTGCACAGCTATTTTCAGGTCTCTCCAGAGATGTCCGATCGTGTTCAAGTCCGGGCTCTGGCTGGGCCACTCAAGGACATTCAGAGACTTGTCCCAAAGCCACTCCTGCATTGTCTTGGCGGGTCGTTGTCCTGTTGGAAGGTGAACCGTCGCCCCAGTCCGAGGTCCTGAGCACTCTGGAGCAGGTTTTCATCAAGGATCTCTCTGTACTTTGCGCCGTTCATCTTTGCCTCGATCCTGACTAGTCTCCCATTCCCTGCCACTGAAAAACATCCCCAGAGCATGATGCTGCCACCACCATGCTTCACCATAGGGATGGTGCCAGGTTTCTTCCATACATGACGCTTGGCATTCAGGCCTAAGAGTTCAATCTTGGTTTCATCAGACCAGAGAATCTTGTTTCTCATGGTCTGAGAGTCTTTAGGTGCCTTTTGGCAAACTCCAAGCGGGCTGTCTTGTGCCTTTTACTGAGGAGTGGCTTCCGTCTGGCCACTGTACCATAACGGCCTGATTGGTGGAGTGCTGCAGAGCACCTCCCTGACCAAGGCCCTTCTCCCCCGATTGCTCAGTTTGGCCGGGTGGCCAGCTCTAGGAAGAGTCTTGGTCCTTCCAAACTTCTTCCATTTAAGAATGATGGAGGCCACTATGTTCTTGGGGACCTTCAATGCTGCATAAATGTTTTGGTACACTTCCCCAGATCTGTGCCTCGACACAATCCTGTCTCGGAGCTCTACAGACAATTCCTTCGACCTCATGGCTTGGTTTTTGCACTGACATACACTGTCAACTATGGGACCTTATATAGACAGGTGTGTGCCTTTCCAAATCATGTCCAATCAATTCAATTTACCACAGGTGGACTCCAATCAAGTTGTAGAAACATCAAGGATAATCAATGGAAACAGGCTGCACCTGAGCTCAATTTCGAGTCTCATAGCAAAGGGTCTGAATACTTATGTAAATAAGGTATTTCTGTTTTTTTATAAATTTGCAAAACTTTCTAAAAACCTGTTTCACTTTGTCATTATGGGGTATTGTCATTATGGGGTATTGTGTGTAGATTGATGAGGGAAAAAAACAATTTAATCCATTTCAGAACAAGGCTGTAACATAACTAAATGTGGAAAAGGGAAAGGGGTCTGAATACTTTCCGAATGCACTGTACATCACCTAATAGCATGAGGGGTGATGGTCATCACTACAACTAATGCACAATGATGACAACTGATCTCTCATCGTAATCTTTAAAACTATCCTCTCGGGATGTGAGTTTAGGACTATCCTCTTGTGATGTGAGTTTAGGACTATCCTCTTGAGATGTGAGTTTAGGACTATCCTCTTGAGATGTGAGTTTAGGACTATCCTCTTGAGATGTGAGTTTAGGACTATCCTCTTGTGATGTGAGTTTAGGACTATCCTCTTGAGATGTGAGTTTAGGACTATCCTCTTGAGATGTGAGTTTAGGACTATCCTCTTGAGATGTGAGTTTAGGACTATCCTCTTGTGATGTGAGTTTAGGACTATCCTCTTGAGATGTGAGTTTAGGACTATCCTCTTGAGATGTGAGTTTAGGACTATCCTCTTGAGATGTGAGTTTAGGACTATCCTCTTGAGATGTGAGTTTAGGACTATCCTCTTGAGATGTGAGTTTAGGACTATCCTCTTGTGATGTGAGTTTAGGACTATCCTCTTGAGATGTGAGTTTAGGACTATCCTCTTGAGATGTGAGTTTAGGACTATCCTCTTGTGATGTGAGTTTAGGACTATCCTCTTGTGATGTGAGTTTAGGACCATCCTCTTTCATGTAGCCTGTCACTGATTGCCAAACATGACAATGATCACAAACAGATCTAGGACCAGGCACATGTCATCTTCAGTTCTGGTAAATGGTACAGCCTATTCAGGACGGGCAGACTGAAGGGACGACAGAGAGATGTCCCCTCATCCTTCAGGGCAGACTGAAGGGACGACAGAGAGATGTCTCCTCATCATTCAGGGCAGACTGAAGGGACGACAGAGAGATGTCTCCTCATCATTCAGGGCAGACTGAAGGGACGACAGAGAGATGTCTCCTCATCATTCAGGGCAGACTGAAGGGACGACAGAGAGATGTCTCCTCATCATTCAGGGCAGACTGAAGGGACGACAGAGATGTCCCCTCATCCTTCAGGGCAGACTGAAGGGACGACAGAGATGTCCCCTCATCCTTCAGGGCAGACTGAAGGGACGACAGAGATGTCTCCTCATCCTTCAGGGCAGACTGAAGGGACGACAGAGATGTCCCCTCATCCTTCAGGGCAGACTGAAGGGACGACAGAGATGTCCCCTCATCATTCAGGGCAGACTGAAGGGACGACAGAGATGTCCCCTCATCCTTCAGGGCAGACTGAAGGGACGACAGAGATGTCCCCTCATCATTCAGATATCCTTCCTATCATGTGTTAACATATCCAGAAAGGGACACTGCTACCCACATTCTAGCCTAACTGACCCCTGTAGAAAAGGTTTGCCTAAATGTTTACCCTGAAGTCCATCAGTGTTTAGTCAATGACATGCCAAATACAAGATGTCAGCTTTTCATAACAAATGGTCTCCTAAATGTGTGGTCAAAACACCTCCAATAATGGATAGCTGATATGACAGGCCTGAGCACAGAGAATTGAATGGGAGGTGACAATATTACTGGAATGTTCATAGAGGGAGTTCTTTGCTGTTCATCACTAAACTATAGCACTCTTTATGTGATCCATGGAAGGAAGGATGGGCTTTACAACAACACTATGCAATAAATAGGCTCCAAAACACAGAGGCTGCAGTAGTGCACTACACTGTAATGGGCTCTGGTCAACAGTAGTACACTATAAAGGGAATAGGGTACCATTTGGGATGCAAGCCAGAGCTTTTAGGCCATGAGACCAGTGGATTATCCTGAGAATTGGGACTAATCCTAATCCCCAGTAATTTCACATTCTGCCATAGTCCTGCCTGGGGCCACAACACAGACTACTGAAGAATAACATGTTATTCCACCTCCGGATTTTAGAATTACTCTCTGCATAGAAGAACAGAATTAGGCCTACATTTCCAGTAAGAAAATGAGTTCTCCCTCATCACAGCCCAGCTCTGTAGGTTAACCTCCCTCATCACAGCCCAGCTCTGTAGGTTAACCTCCCTAATCACAGCCCAGCTCTGTAGGTTAACCTCCCTCATCACAGCCCAGCTCTGTAGGTTAACCTCCCTCATCACAGCCCAGCTCTGTAGGTTAACCTCCCTGATCACAGCCCAGCTCTGTAGGTTAACCTCCCTCATCACAGCCCAGCTCTGTAGGTTAACCTCCCTCATCACAGTCCAGCTCTGTCGGTTAACCTCCCTCATCACAGCCCAGCTCTGTAGGTTAACCTCCCTCATCACAGCCCAGCTCTGTAGGTTAACCTCCCTCATCACAGCCCAGCTCTGTAGGTTAACCTCCCTGATCACAGCCCAGCTCTGTAGGTTAACCTCCCTCATCACAGTCCAGCTCTGTCGGTTAACCTCCCTCATCACAGCCCAGCTCTGTAGGTTAACCTCCCTCATCACAGCCCAGCTCTGTAGGTTAACCTCCCTGATCACAGCCCAGCTCTGTAGGTTAACCTCCCTCATCACAGCCCAGCTCTGTAGGTTAACCTCCCTCATCACAGTCCAGCTCTGTCGGTTAACCTCCCTCATCACAGCCCAGCTCTGTAGGTTAACCTCCCTGATCACAGCCCAGCTCTGTAGGTTAACCTCCCTGATCACAGCCCAGCTCTGTAGGTTAACCTCCCTCATCACAGCCCAGCTCTGTAGGTTAACCTCCCTGATCACAGCCCAGCTCTGTAGGTTAACCTCCCTCATCACAGTCCAGCTCTGTCGGTTAACCTCCCTGATCACAGCCCAGCTCTGTAGGTTAACCTCCCTCATCACAGTCCAGCTCTGTCGGTTAACCTCCCTGATCACAGCCCAGCTCTGTAGGTTAACCTCCCTCATCACAGCCCAGCTCTGTAGGTTAACCTCCCTGATCACAGCCCAGCTCTGTAGGTTAACCTCCCTCATCACAGCCCAGCTCTGTAGGTTAACCTCCCTCATCACAGCCCAGCTCTGTCGGTTAACCTCCCTCATCACAGTCCAGCTCTGTAGGTTAACCTCCCTGATCACAGCCCAGCTCTGTAGGTTAACCTCCCTCATCACAGCCCAGCTCAGTAGGTTAACCTCCCTCATCACAGCCCAGCTCTGTAGGTTAACCTCCCTGATCACAGCCCAGCTCTGTAGGTTAACCTCCCTGATCACAGCCCAGCTCTGTAGGTTAACCTCCCTCATCACAGCCCAGCTCTGTAGGTTAACCTCCCTCATCACAGCCCAGCTCTGTAGGTTAACCTCCCTCATCACAGCCCAGCTCTGTCGGTTAACCTCCCTCATCACAGTCCAGCTCTGTAGGTTAACCTCCCTCATCACAGCCCAGCTCTGTAGGTTAACCTCCCTCATCACAGCCCAGCTCTGTAGGTTAACCTCCCTCATCACAGCCCAGCTCTGTAGGTTAACCTCCCTGATCACAGCCCAGCTCTGTAGGTTAACCTCCCTCATCACAGCCCAGCTCTGTAGGTTAACCTCCCTCATCACAGCCCAGCTCTGTCGGTTAACCTCCCTCATCACAGTCCAGCTCTGTAGGTTAACCTCCCTGATCACAGCCCAGCTCTGTAGGTTAACCTCCCTCATCACAGCCCAGCTCTGTAGGTTAACCTCCCTGATCACAGCCCAGCTCTGTAGGTTAACCTCCCTCATCACAGCCCAGCTCTGTAGGTTAACCTCCCTCATCACAGCCCAGCTCTGTAGGTTAACCTCCCTCATCACAGCCCAGCTCTGTCGGTTAACCTCCCTCATCACAGTCCAGCTCTGTAGGTTAACCTCCCTGATCACAGCCCAGCAGGTTAACCTCCCTCATCACAGCCCAGCTATGTAGGTTAACCTCCCTCATCACAGCCCAGCTCTGTAGGTTAACCTCCCTGATCACAGCCCAGCTCTGTAGGTTAACCTCCCTCATCACAGCCCAGCTCTGTCGGTTAACCTCCCTCATCACAGCCCAGCTCTGTAGGTTAACCTCCCTGATCACAGCCCAGCTCTGTAGGTTAACCTCCCTGATCACAGCCCAGCTCTGTAGGTTAACCTCCCTCATCACAGCCCAGCTCTGTAGGTTAACCTCCCTCATCACAGCCCAGCTCTGTAGGTTAACCTCCCTGATCACAGCCCAGCTCTGTAGGTTAACCTCCCTCATCACAGCCCAGCTCTGTAGGTTAACCTCCCTGATCACAGCCCAGCTCTGTAGGTTAACCTCCCTGATCACAGCCCAGCTCTGTAGGTTAACCTCCTGTAGCCTTCCACAGCCTGAAAAGGAATAACACGGCCGTCTAGAATGGCTATCCAGTAGCGAAGAATCAGGACAATATTTTAAGGATTAAAAGAACACGTCGGTTCCCTCATCATAACCCAGTACATGCTATAGAAAAAAAACTCCCCTCTTCAGAGTCCATCTGACAAACTAGTTGTGATGTCTGGCTGCATGTAGAGGGCGTGTCTGGTAGTGCAGAGGCCCTGGGTTACAGCTGCAGCATGATCTGACAGTTGCTGTGTTTATAGAAGTGAACTTTAGAAGAATCCCTCTAAAAAAAAAAAAAAAAAAACGATAAAGAAAGGTGAAGTTGGCTATGTGTTGTAGAAGGTAACGCTTTCGAGTTAGAAGCCCTCTCTTTGGAACAAAGCAATGCTCTTTCTAGAACAGACCACCAAGCAGGACACGGCCGACGTTACCTTCTCTCCCTGAAGCGCTGAAATCAAATTAATATAGGGCAAAAGACTACAAAACCCCCCCAAAAAATGAAACCTACTCGTTTTTCATGCATATTCTGTCCTGAAACACCTTATCCAGTGGGATGACGGCTTGGCCCAGAAACACGTCCAGTCCCATGAGCGCCCGGTGCATCACCGTCAGGACCAAGTCGCTGCTCCCGGCGGGGTAGGCGCCCCCGTCCCCAACCTGCTCCAGAACACCCGGTAACAACTCGAAGGAACATTCCTCCTTCCATTCGGGAGCAGTGGTCTTTTCCACAACACAAGTCGAGTATTTCTCCTTGCCCACCTGGATAATGGTGTAGACGTCGCTGGTGCCGTGTTTGCCCTTCGCACGCAAGCCCCTGCCCCGCAGAACGGTGACCTGGACGTGTGTAGGAACCCATCTCTGGTCGTCGTCTATATTTAGCGAGGACATGTCCAAATACACACGGCAGAGAGGGAGACAGGATCAAAATCTAAACGTGGAAATGAAATGGTATGATACCCGCCGTCTCCCCCAGCTCCTCAGCGTCTCTCGGAGATGCACGGCCAGCCTAGTCGCGGGGTGGACGGCTCAGCATTATTGTATCGTTTAAAGTTGTCGGTATTGTTCGGCGTGTCCTCACTGTTCGTTGCCCACGCATGTGTTTCGTGGCGTGTGCTCGGCTCGGCTATGCTAATAAGGCTATCGACGGTGCGATGCGCCTCTCGTCCAAGACAAGCGCCCTTCTCTCTGCAGTCAGAACTGTTGAAACCATAGAGAACGATAGAGGTCTCTAGTTGCTGAAAGGCAGTATTACCATGGGCAGCGGCGTTAAGGGCTTCCACCACTTTAATGTAGACAACTGGGTGGGACTTCCAACTTCATTGGCTGATCCCTCCTGGTGACCCTGTTGGAGTCATGTCGAACCGGGTCATCAGGAGGGATCAGCCAATATGTGAAGAATAAAATGGACTACTTCAAAATGGAGATCGCCTCAATGGTGCTGCCCGCCCGCTCACAGACACCAAAACAGGAACTATGAAGATATGTTTTCTCTATCATTCTCTATGGTTGAAACCAAACCAGTGACAACGTCACACCTTTATCCTCTCTTTGCAGGAAGAGTGTAGTAGAAAACATATTCCACCACAAGGCCCCGTTTATCAGACTCTCTAGCGTGAAGCATATATTACAATGATCCTGTGTTCTGAAAGAGTTCCATTGATCACTATCCTATCCAGCCTGCGGCCTCTCTCAGGTCAGACCCACTGAAAGTAGGGGAAACACCTCACCCTCGGGGTACTGCGCTGTGAGAACAGTTCGAGAGCGCCCACAGCCCTGGGATGACATAACATTGCAGATGCTCCCCACTTCACAGAAAATGGGTTGAATCAATGGTGTTTCCACGTCATTTCAAACCGAAAAAAATCTGTGATGATGACATTGAATCAAAGTGGAAAACTAAATGGATTTGAAAAAAGTCATCAATTTAAGGGATTTTTTTTCTCCTCACCCAACTAAAAAAAAAAGAAAAAATAATATGATTTGACGTTATTTGACAACTCAACCAAATGTATACAAAACTGATGTCTGTGCCCAGTGGGTCCGCCAGCTGATCGGTCGGAAAGAAAGACAACTTCTCTATCACTCCTTTCGCAGGGCCAACTTAGATAGGAGTTGTTGTTGTTTGTCATGCCAGTAGTAGGAGTTGTTGTTGTTGTTGTTGTTTGTCATGCCAGTAGTACGTTTGAACTCTAAAAAAGGATGGAGACACTTTGGCAGATTGGTGTTTTATCTCCCACCCAGGGCTATTGTAGTACGGAGTGGTGGTACACCCTGTACAGCCAGTGGGACGTTTACAAGCCTTTAGCCATAGCCAAATCTATTCAAACTAAGCAACACATGCTATTCAACTATTTAGCCCACACTTTAAAGGAGCAATCTGGGATTTAAACACAGTGGTTACCCCGCCACTTTTTTTGGTAAACAGTTGAGGGATGATGCTGGTGAAATGGATGTATCAATTCCAGATTGGCCCTTAATTGTAAGCCAGCCACCCTTTAGCCTAGGGCCTCTCATTGCTTTATTGGACAGCAGTTTGATAATGACCTGGCGGAAAAACCGCCAAAATGTTCCAATGTGGCCTACAGTCAATAATCTACTGCACGTGTCAAATTCCTGTCTGCAGGTTTTTACTCCTCCTTTGTCCTTGATTGATGAATTAAGGTCACTAATTAGTAAGGAACTCCCCAAAAAGTCCCCACCTGGTTGTCTAGGGCTTAATTGAAAGGAAAACCCAGAAACCAGCAGACACTAGGACCATGGAATGAGTTTGACACCCCTGGTCTACTATATAGCGGAAGAATCCAGTGAGTCTGTATAGTGCAGTGGCAGTCAGTCATATTCCTATTGCAGCAGACAGATGAGTTGCAGAAAAAAAGAGACAGAGAGGGAAAGAGTGAGAGAGAGCAGAGGAGTGACTGATGGGGGATGGGAGTGACTGATGAGGGATATGAGTGACTGATGGGGGATGGGAGTGACTGATGGGGGATGGGAGTGACTGATGGGGGATGGGAGTGACTGATGGGGGATGGGAGTGACTGATGGGGGATAGGAGTGACTGATGGGGGATAGGAGTGACTGATGGGGGATGGGAGTGACTGATGGGGGATGGGAGTGACTGATGGGGGATGGGAGTGACTGATGGGGGATGGGAGTGACTGATGGGGGATGGGAGTGACTGATGGGGGATGGGATTGACTGATGGGGGATGGGAGTGACTGATGGGGGATAGGAGTGACTGATGGGGGATAGGAGTGACTGATGGGGGATGGGAGTGACTGATGGGGGATGGGAGTGACTGATGGGGGATGGGAGTGACTGATGGGGGATGGGAGTGACTGATGGGGGATGGGAGTGACTGATGGGGGATAGGAGTGACTGATGGGGGATGGGAGTGACTGATGGGGGATAGGAGTGACTGGTGGGGGATGGGAGTGACTGATGGGGGATAGGAGTGACTGATGGGGGATGGGAGTGACTGATGGGGGATAGGAGTGACTGATGGGGGATGGGAGTGACTGATGGGGGATAGGAGTGACTGATGGGGGATGGGAGTGACTGATGGGGGATAGGAGTGACTGATGGGGGATGGGAGTGACTGATGGGGGATAGGAGTGACTGATGGGGGATGGGAGTGACTGATGGGGGATGGGAGTTGACTGATGGGGGATGGGAGTGACTGATGGGGGATAGGGAGTGACTGATGGGGGATGGAGTGACTGATGGGGGATGGGAGTGACTGATGGGGGATAGGAGTGACTGATGGGGGATGGGAGTGACTGATGGGGGATGGGAGTGACTGATGGGGGATGGGAGTGACTGATGGGGGATAGGAGTGACTGATGTGGGATGGGAGTGACTGATGGGGGATAGGAGTGACTGATGGGGGATGGGAGTGACTGATGGGGGATCAGGAGTGAACTGGTGGGGGATGGAGTGACTGATGGGGATATGGGAGTGACTGATGGGGCTGGTGGGGTGATGATGGGGGATAGGAGTGACTGATGGGGGATGGGAGTGACTGATGGGGGGATAGGAGTGACTGATGGGGGATGGGAGTGACTGATGGGGGATATGAGTGACTGATGGGGGATGGAGTGACTGATGGGGGATGGGAGTGACTGATGGGGGATGGGAGTGACTGATGGGGGATGGGAGTGACTGATGGGGGATGGGAGTGACTGATGGGGATAGGAGTGACTGATGGGGGTATGGAGTGACTGATGGGGGATGGGAGTGACTGATGGGGGATGGGAGAGAGGCAGAGGGCTAATTCATTTTGCTGGTGGTGTGTGTGCTTGCTAGTGCAGATTTCATTAGTGTCTTTATGCTGTTATGGAAGAAGAGAATGCACCACCTTCTGGTCAGTGAGGTGCGTCTGGCTGCTGGGTTCTGGTCAGTGAGGTGCGGCTAGCTGCTGGGTTCTGTTCAGTGAGGTGCGGCTGGCTGCTGGGTTCTGTTCCCTTCTGGTCAGTGAGGTGCGTCTGGCTGCTGGGTTCTGGTCAGTGAGGTGCGGCTGGCTGCTGGGTTCTGTTCAGTGAGGTGCGGCTGGCTGCTGGGTTCTGGTCAGTGAGGTGCGGCTGGCTGCTGGGTTCTGTTCCCTTCTGGTCAGTGAGGTGCGGCTAGCTGCTGGGTTCTGGTTAGTGAGGTGCGGCTGGGTTCTGTTCCCTTCTGGTCAGTGAGGTGCGGCTGGGTTCTGTTCCCTTCTGGTCAGTGAGGTGCGGCTGGGTTCTGTTCCCTTCTGGTCAGTGAGGTGCGGCTGGGTTCTGTTCCCTTCTGGTCAGTGAGGTGCGGCTGGGTTCTGTTCCCTTCTGGTCAGTGAGGTGCGGCTGGGTTCTGTTCCCTTCTGGTCAGTGAGGTGCGGCTAGCTGCTGGGTTCTGGCCAGTGAGGTGCGGCTGGGTTCTGTTCCCTTCTGGTCAGTGAGGTGCGGCTGGGTTCTGTTCCCTTCTGGTCAGTGAGGTGCGGCTGGGTTCTGTTCCCTTCTGGTCAGTGAGGTGCGGCTGGGTTCTGTTCCCTTCTGGTCAGTGAGGTGCGGCTGGGTTCTGTTCCCTTCTGGTCAGTGAGGTGCGGCTGGGTTCTGGTCAGTGAGGTGCGGCTGGGTTCTGTTCCCTTCTGGTCAGTGAGGTGCGGCTGGGTTCTGTTCCCTTCTGGTCAGTGAGGTGCGGCTGGGTTCTGGTCCCTTCTGGTCAGTGAGGTGCGGCTGGGTTCTGTTCCCTTCTGGTCAGTGAGGTGCGGCTAGCTGCTGGGTTCTGGTCAGTGAGGTGCGGCTGGGTTCTGTTCCCTTCTGGTCAGTGAGGTGCGGCTGGGTTCTGTTCCCTTCTGGTCAGTGAGGTGCGGCTGGGTTCTGGTCAGTGAGGTGCGGCTGGGTTCTGTTCCCTTCTGGTCAGTGAGGTGCGGCTAGCTGCTGGGTTCTGGTCAGTGAAGTGCGGCTGGGTTCTGTTCCCTTCTGGTCAGTGAGGTGCGGCTGGGTTCTGTTCCCTTCTGGTCAGTGAGGTGCGGCTGGGTTCTGTTCCCTTCTGGTCAGTGAGGTGCGGCTGGGTTCTGTTCCCTTCTGGTCAGTGAGGTGCGGCTGGGTTCTGTTCCCTTCTGGTCAGTGAGGTGCGGCTGGGTTCTGGTCAGTGAGGTGCGGCTGGGTTCTGTTCCCTTCTGGTCAGTGAGGTGCGGCTGGGTTCTGTTCCCTTCTGGTCAGTGAGGTGCGGCTGGGTTCTGTTCCCTTCTGGTCAGTGAGGTGCGGCTGGGTTCTGGTCAGTGAGGTGCGGCTGGGTTCTGTTCCCTTCTGGTCAGTGAGGTGCGGCTGGGTTCTGGTCAGTGAGGTGCGGCTGGGTTCTGTTCCCTTCTGGTCAGTGAGGTGCGGCTGGGTTCTGTTCCCTTCTGGTCAGTGAGGTGCGGC